CTTACCTGACACTGTTCGAATAAGCCGAAATTATGAAATTCGCGTGTTCATATCCGTACAGCTGCGAAAGCGGCTCGTTTCTTTCAACTGACGTTTCCCTATCCGGCCGCTCCGACTCTACCTAAAGACTATCTATAGACAGTCTATAGACACCTGTCTATAGCCGGTCGGTCGAGCGCGAGCATCATCTCGACTCGTCGAGGTAAGCCGACCGAATGAGAGAAATCAGCCCCACTGCGATTGCGCGCGGCCGATCAATTATTCAGCCGGCGATTCAAGCGGCGTTTACGCTCGCGACGTCGCGAAGCGTACTCGGCGATTTTCATATTTAATCGAGGGGGATGACTATCGAGCCGATCGAGCATTACCCTTTCGTCACCCTCCGCGGAACTTTATGATAAAAACTAAGCGAATTATTGAAAAGGCCGTCGGTGGAAAGCCACGTCAGCGTTACGCAGAAAACACGTGTATATTTAGAACACGCGGCTTCTGTCTTATAAATCGCGGAGATCGCGAGGCGGGAGGGGAAAGGGGGGCTTGATTACAGGGTTTACGATGAAGTCCTGTGAGAACGGGAAGGACTGACGGTCGAGGGCTACCCTTTGCTGGATTATTCCCCGACTGTTTTTTCCTTCTTTTTTTCCACTTTCTCTTCTTTGTTTTTCATCGAGCTCCCCCTAACGCAATCGAATAACAGCCCTCACGAACGGGATTCACTTTGCTTCTCTTTTCGAACTATTTATGCGCGCACTTCCGCGTCGCTTTTTTTTTCGAGAACTTCCCTTCGCCGCACAATAGTCGATGTAAATTTCGCGATTTTCCCCGGTACGTCGGGGTTTATTTAAAGAAACGAAGTACGATTGCAATTGCAACGAAGTATTAATAGCATGAAATTTATATTCACAGAGCCTTTGATATGCCTTTGTTTATACCATTATTTAAGCTACGTTCCGATATTCACTGCCAGCACTGAAAATTTATAGTATACATAACACGAACTTTATATTTTCTTTAGTATTGGCAGTGAATATCGGAACACAGCCTTGATGATAATCTCAATATTGTATGAAGTTGCATATTGAATATTTTTACGTACCGCCGTTAATTTTCGTTTTCAATATTGAACAGAAACGATTGGTAACTATCAACAGTAGATGTTAAATCACAACGACGGGAAACGGCGGGAAATATATATATACGGGGCATCGGTACGGGATTTTTATTATTGAGTTATAGCACGCGTAAAATTTCAACGGTATCACGAAAGGTTAAAAAAGAAACGGCGACGATCGATACGTTGCCACGGAGACCAGCCTGCCTCTTATCCACATTCAAAAACATGAAGTGGAGCAATGCCTGTACGATCCTTATCTTTGATTACGAATGTGAAAGACTCTAGATAGCAGGACCGTGATTAATAGAAACGCGATAAGACCTGTCTACGTCACATACCGCGTCATTTGCCGTCAAGTGCATTGTCTTTAATGACTTTGAGTCGCATTTGTTTACACATTTATGAAGACTTTAGCAAAAATGAGCGAAATGACACCTTATCTTTTTCCTGATTACAGCGGATATTTAATATATATATANGATCATTTTGGGCATAAATATATCAATAATCCGCAGAATAATTGACCGTAAAACTCTGTAGATGAATTCTATAAATAAATCGTTCAGTATTCATTGTTGTTTTATAACTTTCCTTCACGAAGTTTTCATTAAAGAGAAGTCACGTTATGTGACGGATATTTATTATGTAAAAATTCTAAAGCATTTTCACTTGTAAATGCAATTACCGGGCGAAATGCACAATTAATAATTATACAAAACGAGCCAATTTATTTCAACTATAATGAACTATAGTGAAAGTCACTTACAATGGTCAGATAATCGCTGTCGTCGTGCGCGTTATCCTCGAAAGGCGTCTTCTCACCCACGATGTCAAGCACATCTGTCTTGTCTGGAATATTGAACATTCAAAAATTCAGTTACGATCGCCTTCGAGAGTTGGATAAATTTTTGGAATAATCGTATTGAATTTCTTGGCAACGAGTAATCGCCGGTACGCGGCTGCGATATATTAGCGAAGCTTGGACGACAGCGGAGCTATTTCATTCTTTCGGTCTCTCCTTAGATATCGGATCTTTCCTCGCGTTCCCAATCTATCAATTAACGCGTGATTCAGTTGTCGATGCATCGGTAATTAGCGACGAGCGCTCGTTGAGGATGCGTTCACTTATTCAATACGCGGTATCTTACGGGGTTTGTGGGTCACAGTAGCATTAATTGCAATTAAAACACAACTGGGCTTAACTGACGGGATATATTAATCGTTGCTCCACTTTTTCCTCCCATCTTTTTTTGAAAGAACGTTCTAATCACCGAGTGATATACGATGTTAGAAAAAAAATTGTATAATGAATACATCGTGTATTCTCGATGGAAGGTTGAGTCAAGGTCTGAATATGAATTTATGCGTCGAACAAGTTCTATGAAGATAAGAATCTGTACCCACCATTGCCGTATAATTCATCCTCCAAGCTATCTTCGTCGTCGCTTGGGAAAAAATACCTATTCGGCGACGAAGCCATATATGGATTATGCTTTCGGCCTTGCGATCATTGAATTACGTGATTTCGCACGGTATGAAGTTTGTCTGTGTGCCTTTTTTCATTACACCGGTAGCGTCTTACGCTATTACCCGTCACTGTTAGCAGTAAATATCGGCAAGAGCGTATGTTATTCTCGTTAGAAATTCGCGGACACTGAGAGACAAATTACGCACTGTGAGACAAATTACGTTCATATTTTTTAAGTTGCCACAAGTGAATTGAAATCAGCAGACGGACGTTTTTCCAACGATCGATTTTCCTCTTGGCACGTTCGCATTTGAGAACGGTGCGATCGAAAATTTAACTAACACGCGCACTCGAGGAAGTGTGAATTCCGTATAGATTTCACAGTTAACTGAACTACTATCGGTTTCGATGAAAACGTGTTCGAAATCGCGAGCCGGATATTGAATCAACGATAAAAATCGGCGAACGCACCGAACGATGCGCCGTATGCGGCCCAAAGACAACGACTGACCGAGAGAACCGAATCGACCAAGTTAAAATTCTACTTGAGAGTGACTGGCCCCAGAAGAGCGACGCGATAGCGTCGTCGGGGAGATTCAAGATACTGTAGGTCCATTTAGCTCGATAGACGGGTGAAAATGTGCGTACCGCGGCAAAGCAAGTTTTACAAAATAAAGGTATAATGTAGCAGAATACGCAGAAATAACATACAGCTTTGGAATGGCACTCGCGCGCGTTGGCTGGAAAGAAATATCCCGAAATTCAACGTGATTCATGAACTAAGTCGTTGATAACTCGTTGATAACTCATTGCAACTTAAATGTAGGCGCAGTAAAAGTTAGTAGTGTTTTGGGCATTTTCAAGTATTAACTTCTCGAATTATCTCAATATATATCCCATCGATATAGGGAAAAATAATGTATAATAAACGTTATTAACACGAGCGCAAATTGTTAAATTTGAAAGCAAAAAAGTTTAGAGGAATAAGTAATAAGAGAGTTAGTATTCATTTATAAAATCTTTTCAAATATCTTGAGCAATAATCACACGGCGGTCGTTTTGCATATGAAATTATTCAAGGTTCGCCTCGTTCGGAATAAAAATCGCACGCTACGGTATAACCTCAGACCCGATAAGATAAAAATCCAAGCAACAGGTAACTTGCTTACGCATTAATACGAGTAAGAGACAACGTAGATGTCGTCGATATTAACTAAGTAAGGTAATTCACATAGATATCGCGCTTAATGATTTTGCATATCAGCCAGACTCAATAAAATTAATCTTGAGGGAATAAGATACGCGCGTAGATATCAATACCGATGAGAAATTTCCTAGATTATGTAAAACCTACACAGTGAGTGAAAAAAAAATATTTGCGCGTCTCATCATTTCTGGAATAAATTTCGGCAGAATCAAAAACATATCGTACAAAATACCGTCTTGACATGTATCTTGATTTCACTTGAATTATATAATTAATTGCATCAATTATATTGATATATTGTGAACACGTGCAAATTTTGCAAACAGTTTCCCTTTCATTTGATATTATTCCAGGAACGATAAGGTAAACAAATATTTCTTCCTCCTGCTGTGTACAATATTTCAATTATACTTGATGTTAAATAGTTCTACGTAATGACCAATCGTAACTAACGTTGCGGTTGTTCTTTGTGATCGTCCTCTTCGGTGACAAGACGACGCTCGCAGAACATGAGATACGGGCTGCTTTGTTCCTTGTCGGTCTCCGTTACGTCTGTAAATAACATTTACGTGCATAAATGCGTGTTATTCCGGTAGGCTAGAAAACCACAAAACTTAAAGCATCCGATAAATTCTTTAGAAAACCGGCGACCGATCAAGTACCTGATCTGCATTTATACTCGTAGACCTGATACGATGCAACGTATCTGTATTCGATTTCCGATGCGCAATTTCAATGTTCCGATCGAATCGTATTTAAGTTCGTGCAACTGTAGAATATTTATTTATAAGCCGCCGCGTGTTGTATTCAAAGAGAAACGGATAGATCCCAATGTTTACGTAATTCTCGCGCAACATGCACGATAGTTCCCGACATTGACTGTAGTTACGCGTCTTAAATAATACCCAATAAACCTCAATTCCACGCACGCGGATTGCTAACCGTAGAAGAAGAAACGCTGTTCTCCTTACGTGAGAAATAAGTACGTGCCGCTTACTAAACATCTGAAGATAAAATAAATGTTCAAATCTAGCACACAACATTCATATAGGTGTCTTAGCTTTTTCAGGGCATTAGAACAAGGATTAGAAAAGAATATTATATTATAAAGAAAGAGAATATTTATGATAAATATAATAAATATTTTGTTATAAAATATCACCAATTTGGAAGAAGCAAACTTATGCCGAAAGCAAATTTTGAGAAAATTTATACCATCGATCCATCGACTTATGATTACAAGTTCAGAGCATTGCAGAGTCGAGGAAAAATCTAGCGATACAAGTAGAAGTGAAATTGAATGCAGCATCACTACGGAGGTCCTTGAGCACAGAAATATGATTAGCCATGTCCCAGAATCGATCCTTAAAAGCGAACTATCACGACCCTGGCGCGACATGGTGCGCAGACTCCTAAGTCGAAAAAGTAGGAACGCCGAAAGTACCTATCTGTGTATCCATATATCTGATTAATTCACATCTCGAACGATGACTCCGGTTAGCACACGGCACACTGTGCGATGGTCAATCGTAGACTAGGTCAAGGAGAATGACTGTTACCTGAAAAGTCCACCTCTCCGCCCTTCTCTCCTCCTTCACGAAAGGTACGCATCCGTCACGCGGACGTACGCGGTAATGTTCCAGTCTGTTCATAACTCAACCTTTGTTGACGTCATAACCAACACCGTGGTTAGAAATTAAAAGTCTCCCGGCCAAGAAAACCTCCTGAGAAGTGTCTAATTGACCGTATTTTTAATTACAATAAAACATCAAACCATAGTTTGTTTAGTAGCTTGTAAAAGCCCAAGCAATGGTCGTTAACACTGTGATCCGTGGACGCACTCTTTCAAGTAAATCTTTTTTCATACACGCTAAAACACGTTGCACACATCACACACATACACACACACAGTTGTTGAAAATAATAATAAAATATTCATACAGAGAGAGAACTGACAAGTGATTATATTTAACAATCTTATTCAATTTATACATGCGACTGAATTTCATGAACAATGTCGAGAATACAATTTTTCTCCGCGTTGCACCGATTGAGGCATCCGAGCGTGTAACAAATATAGAATAAATGAACGAAATGGAGAGGAGAAAAATAAATCCTTTGGGCGAGAGAGCGTAGCGTTGCAGTTCTCACAGTCGTAAGCGGATTACCGAGCAAACTCGGAGTAAGATCGTAACTGCCCAGAATTCCTCCGACCTTCAGGAGAAAATTGCTACGCTTTGACGTTTGACGTTCTCCAGTCGCGTATCACGTGTGCCCAGAAGCCAAATATGTGCAAACTTGATAACATTGTGCCAGAAGGAGGCATTTTAACTTTTCGCCGAAAATATTTACATAGAGACTGACGTACGTAGTTTACGGACTCTGCTGCCTTTGCAATCTCATTGAAAAATACGCAACGATTAATTTGCAATACGACGACGGTCAATCGTGGGCTATGTTACATTACATCTGTGTTAGTTGTGCGCTAAAATTATTAAGCTGATCGCATAATAACAAGATACGATATTACAACTATTTCTCTAAACCATATCGAGAAAAGGGAGGAGTACTCATTGAAAATGCTGCATGAGGCGTGGAAAGATCGTTAGGATCATTATTTGTATCTATCTTCATTGTGGATGAAAATTGATAAAAACTGTATGCAGCTTTGCACCGTCACATAGGCATTTTTCCAGTTGGCTAATTCCTCCGCTTTAGATTTTGACTTTCAGATTCAAGCCGAGGGAATATGGCGGTATATCTCTCGAGAAAATTTAAACAACACGAATAGAGAAATGTGTCGGAAAGGAGGAAAGGGAGGGACATACCGCTTGTAACGAGAGAGCTTCTAGTTTCGGACGACGTGCTCTTCTCCAGCTCAACTTTGTCCCTCATGCACTCCAGTATACTGGTTTTGCATCCCATCTTCAAGACGAGCTCTCACTTCGCCGAATACCTCCTTGCCGCTTTTCGCATCGTCGGGAACGTCGAAAAGCATCGGGTCAGATACTGAAGAGCATCGATGACAGATAGTCGACAAGTATATTAGGTTATTTTTCGTCCGAAGCGATCGATAAAAGAGAAATTTCGATCAAGATCCTAAATGAGGAAGTAAGAATGATTAAACTATTAAATTTCACTATCTCTAATTGCGCGTTTTGTGTAAAATATTTCCGGGAGATAATGTTCAACGCAAAACTCTCGGGACTCGTTGATGTGGTTGATGTTATCTATATATTTGTTAACTATATATAACTATATAACACGTACAGTTAAAATGGCGAATCTTCAATGAATCTTCAGGCGAAGTTTACATGTGCATATATTTTACTCTACACACAACTGTTAGTATTCTAAGTACGGAAAAAGGAGCTTATCACGGAAATCTGCACGCTTTGTACAACTATACGAAATCAGGCTGGAAATACGCATATAGCTCGAAACGTTGTTACTTACCTTGCAAAAATGCACGTTCATGCTCGCACGATATCAATCTGCTTATCCTCGGACGAAAGAAAACGATCCTCCGTGCACTGATTTCGCATGGACCAAACATTGATTGATTACCGCACACACACACGCTGGTGTTGCATTAATTACTATGTCCGAAGGATCGATTACCGCCGGATCACTCTGCGAACGAATGCGCTGAACAGCCTCAGCTCGATTAAACGGCACTCGATTAAACGGCACTCACCGGCAAAATTAGCGGCAATTTAACCGCGCGAGTTCTTCTTAGTCACCAGAGTTTCACCGACAAGCCGATCGGCTGTAGCTCTTTATTCATATTTCACATGAAGCACAAACGTCACTGATCGCTCATTTAAACAGTCATTACGAGCGCTCGCTCGCTGACGCGCAACGGAGATCGTGAAAATCGCGAAAATTCCGCGGCCGTTGACGATTAGTTCGGCATTGAGCGCGCATCGGGACCGTAGATGCTTTCGTACACACGGGGTCATGCGTCAGTGCAATTTTCCCAGTTCGCTTTATCTTATCTTCCGCCGAAAGTGTCTACATGTAATTCAAAAGTCTCGCGACGCATCTCAAATACCGCTGTATCGCTTGGCAGCAACCACGATACCCAGCGTGCGCAATTAGAGAGACGTTCTGCGCGAGATAGCCGTTCACGTAATTCGTCCGATTACGCCGTGTTTGGGCACGAAACAAGCAAATATAGTGTTGTGTGCATTATCATCGAAGACATTGTTTTCATAGTGATGCAACTCCATAGTTCCTACATCGAGATACGGACAATTTAATGTTAAGGAAACCGGGAAAATTCGTCGGTTAAGATCGCGACCGAAAGTGGCTACGCCGATTTCATCGATATTATTCAACAGACGTGTTAATTACTCGAGACTTTTTCGACGCACGACTCCGCTTCTACGTTGGTCGTAATTAAGAAGAACCGTCGCACTTCCGCGAATTCGATCCGGGATTTCACAATCACGAGCACAATGCACACGTTCGTCGATCGATTCGAGTAAAAATTTTCCCAGATATTTTTTCGACATAAACGAAAAACATAATATCGTTAATTGTTTGTAAATAATAGGAGGTAACGGGACAAAAAGACGTCGTTTAGCGTGTAAACTTATTGCACTTTTATCGGCGCTTCTACATTATTCAGGGACGACCCGCGCATTAAAGAGGCCGATGGCCGCGTTTTCGCAAATTCTATTCTGCAATCTAGTGAAATCGTATTGCGGCAAAACGCAGAACGCAGAACGAGTCTTTTATACGGAACGTTCGTCTTGCGTCGCCGTACTTGCAAGTAGATACGGAACACTCGATCAAACGTACTCCCATGACGAGAAGCTTTGGACATTTAGCATTCCCGAAGTGTCCTGATAGTAGGCGCGACGATAACAGAATGAAAGTGAAAATTTGTTGCTGAAGACTCTCGTAATGTCACGTAATGGTCACGCTGACGGCGAAACACGACGATGTCACCGGCAAGCAGTGTGAATCTCGAGCGGGCTATTGTCAGGCGACGCGGCGCTTCAAGATGTGCGCAACGTTTTAATGAAGATAGAATCGCAAGTAGAAAGAGAGAGAAAGAGAGAGAGAGAGAGAGAGAAACGACAGCATAATATATAGATACTAAATTTATAAGCGACCCTTTTCATACGCCACTAATCGTCTGTTTCAATTTCGTTAGCCGAGGAAGGACACGCGTGCATTTGCGTTAGCGCAGCGTTTAAACATACAAATAGATTAATACGCGGAAGAGCTGCGGGTGTTTAAACGACGAGACAGCGTGGTTTTTAAGCCAATAATAATCGGCGGCGACGGAGGGGCACGGGTAGAATTTGCGAGTGGCAAATACGAGAGGATGAAGCATTATCACTGTAAATTTAATCGCTTAACACCGCGCCGTCTTACGAGGCGACTATTTAGGGCCGTTTTAGAGTTTCCGTGACGTAAGTTATCTTTGCGCGGCTGTGCTTATCGTATGCGTTTGTATCTGCGTTTCACGCCTTATCCGTTATTTTTTAATAAGCGGTGTATCATATCCCAACGCGTGCCTTCAGCTTGAGCGCCCAGCGAATAGATGCACCGATGCACAAGCGCTCTCGAAGAGTCGACTTGCTTCCAGTTGCATTTTATATAATAGATCCGTATAATAACGATTCTACTCTGCACACAAATTATATCGTTTTCACTTGACAACAACGTTTTCTCTCCCTCTTATATTCTTTCTATATTTACAATCTATATTTTACACAAGGAAAAGTTTTGTCTTCCTTTATGAACTAACTTTTATTGACTAACGAAAGTTTTCTATACATTTTTACTAATACCAAATTATCAATATATGTTTCATTCTACGGCTTAAGGCCGATTTAATGCACGACTTTCTAAAGTTATTAATGTGATTAATTATAATCCTTATCAATCTGGATGCTCCAATTTTTCAAACTATTCTGCGTTTTAATTTTTCATTCGAATTTTTCGAAATACTTCCAATTTTCATATATCTGCATGTGTATTTATAGATCGAAAGATTTATTTTCTTTCTTAACAAATAATTTTTCTTTGTTGATTATCTCTTTTCATCTTTTTAATATAAATAAATGGATATCCATAATTCTATTTATCTTATAACTATCGTCGTAGTGTTTACGAGTGTAGATAATAAATATTCTTAACTCATGTCTATTTTCATTGTCCTGACAATAGAAGTTGCACGTTGCAAGTAGAAATACACACGATGAAACGATTATTATTTTTTCCACTCGTTCATATGGCGCCATGAGCAAATAAATATAGCATTAAACGTGTAATATTCGTCGCAGTTTGATCATTGCGATCAATTAAACGATTCCTCTCTCAATAATGATCATTAACTAAATTAGTAAACTCTCAATAATCGTCGTAAATAAATTATCAACTCTTCTATGTTAATCACAAAATAATTATCGTTAGATTAGTGTTACGATAAATGAAAACGAAGTATTAACACCTGCTACGTCCACGAGAAATCGTGACATTGGCGGTGAATTTACGAAAGGTGGCCTCAAATCATTCTCTTGAAAATTTAGATATGAGTAGTGCAAGAAGTCCCTCCGTGGTGTCTATCGTAGGAATTTCTTAAGAAACGTAGTTGATTTACCGTATTTTGACGAAGCGACGGAAATATATATATATATTAATCCACAAAAATAACAAGAAACAAATTAATTGTAGGAATGTAACGACGTTCCTTCAAAAACTTACTATCATTTAACGCCGTATCTCGCCACTTATCCCTTTCCAGGTGAAGATATGAAGTTCTCTACGCAATTTTCTTAGTATATCGGAAACAAATAAATCTTAAGTATTAGACTGATTAAACCGATATGATTCTAATGAATGATTCTAACACGTGTGAAACGAAACTCGAAGTGTCTTTCTCCGCCGACAGTACGCATTCAAATGTTCGATCGACCTTTCAGTACGTTCAGTTCACGAGCGGCCTGACATTTTCCAAATTTTTCCCCAAAAACGTTCCTCGGCAAAAATTGTAGGATGTTGAGGTATGAATCCGTGATCCCTGACAATATTACGAATGACGCTATGCAGGGTGGCAAAGAGAGAAATTCTAGTAAGCCATTTGAATGGATATACAAGGTTCGTTATCGCCAGGTTTTCTCGAGAAATAACCTTAATTTACATGAACAATATTACTATTCTGATTTTCTCTCTTTTTAAGAAAAATTATCAGCATTTGGTGTACTATTTTTCTCGTCTGTAAGAAATTGTAAATTCGTCGGAAGAAAAATATTAATAACTATTTTTATTTAAGTATTTCTTATCTAATGTTTCAATCTCTCACTTTATCGACGAGATACGTATTTTTTAATTAAGACTCTATGCCGTGAAGAAAACGTGAAACCATTATCGGCAGTGCAAACATATCTGCAAAAGAACTGCCTGCGATTCTGTGTCGATCATGTTAATCTGAAAGATTGGTCGCCGATATTGAGAGGTATAACGCAAGATCAAAGCCTGTCACAAATTTCCGTGTATAGCCGGTGCCGTCGCAAAAAGATTCGAGAGAAAATAAACACGGAAGAGAAAATCGTGAAATTACGGTAATTGACGAAAACGTACTTAGTCTACTCGATAAAAAATAATTTAAGGATCTTCGAGGCATAACATATAAGATTGTTAGAATACTTATAGTTAATGAAAAATTAAGTCCACCTTTTACAATTAATACTGTCCCGGAGTGATTGTTGTATAAAATATCTAAGTGTTAGAAAAATAAGATACTTCGATTGTTTTCCCTTTCGGATACTACTCTCAGTAAGTTTAAGATTGCAGGTGACGTCGTCGTGAGGCAAAGACAATTGAAGCAAAACAAAACTAAAAAATGTAACATCGCCGCCCAAAGGCGATACGTAAATCCACATATTGCGAAATGGCAAACGGACTGGCATTCTGCTCGCACGTCCAGGAGATGCACGCGAAAGGGTCAACAGCAGCCAGTGTTGTATACAAATTTTCTACTACGATGCTTCGTCCAGTCGCTCGCTGTCTGTCTGTGGAACTCATTGATGATCACCAGTCTCGAACTCGACGGTATTCCTCTGGCGCCAAAATATATGAAGACCCTCAGTGAAGGCTTGACGAATAATCGGAATCTGCGAAGCTTGTCGTTGATCAGGTGTCGAATAGGTGACGCAGGTTGGTCATAATTTACACATAGTTTGAATTTTTCCCAAACGTTGTCTGAAATTTGTGTAGATAAAGTAAAACTCTAATCTTTCTAAATACTTCGTCTGTGAAGAGAACAAAAATATAAAATAATAACGTACTTTTTATATTTGCAGGATGCGGTCTGTTGATGGAAAGTCTGGAGAATAATCCGAGTCTCCGTATTTTGAATCTGTCGTCGTGCTGCCTCACTAACAGGAGCGCTACATGTTTATCGTCGTACTTGAAGAAACGTAGGATGGATTTATTGCATAGTATTCGGAACGAATCAACATTGCCTCCAGGCGACGTTCACAGACCAGTGGTGCGTATCGAAAGAAAAATAATTCTATAATTCTATAATTAAAACGATACTTTTCTTTTATTAGCGCAAAATTCAACAATCTACGGTTACATTACAGAAGGAAGGACTGAGAGTATTGATACTCGATAGAAATCACAAATTCAGTGACATTGGCCTGCGACATTTGATACATGATCTGAAGAATAATTTCTGGTTAAAGAAATTATGCTTGCGATTTTGCGATATCACCGAACGCGGAGGACGGATTATGCTGGAGTTACTACGAACGAACAACGTGATTGCGCAGGTCGATCTCAGAGGCAACGAAATACCGGCCGATATATTGCAAACTGTCTGCAAGCTCCTAAAAGAAAGGAAAAACAAACGGGAAAGGACATTGATGCAGAAAAGATTGCTGAACTACAAACATCGTGCCAACTTTTGCACATCGTGCAAAAATATGATTTCAAAAAGTACATCTGCTCAGTTCACGTCGAAGAATAAATACCTCAAAAATCAAGACGTAAGTTCAAACTGAAAGTCGTGTGCTTATATCAAGTGATTAAGTGAATTATTTATCATTCGTCGCACACAATATGTTTACCTATACTTCTTTCCTCTTTCAGCATCCTCAACTGAAGATACGAGACGACAATTGCACTTCACAAATATGGTGTCCTGCGTATACACGGAAGACAATAAGCAAAAATGATAGAACACGCAAATCGCACGATATAAAAGAAAGACACACCGGATGGATCAACATGCAACAACTGCGGAGACATTTGTCATTCATGATCAAACGTAATCAAAATCTGATAAAGGTTTTGGAGAACAACGCTGACTTTCTAGCGGAGGAAAGAAATCGCCGTTTGAGCACTGAGGAAGCGTACCACAAACTTCAACCTCGACTCAAAAGTCTCAGAAACAAAATAGCCGCACAAAATTCTATTTGTTCCGATACGCGCTATGAAAATCAAATTTACGCGAGCTTGCTAAATGGATTCAATAAATTGACGATATCCACGAATGAAAAGAAATTTAGGATGGCCGATGGGAATCTCGAAGCAGAAGTTGGCGACAGCAAGGTCAAGTCTGTCCTTTGTTGTCGCAAAAGTCAACTGTGCGAAAACGAACTCTCTCATCTCTGGCACGAAATGTCGAAGAAACTTCTCGAATGAAAAACACGCGCCGGCACCTGAAACTGCTCGTATTTATGCTATGTACAAATATTATATGTTAACTCGTATAAATTACACGTAACATTATTGTGAATTGACATGTGTATATGACACATATATATATGAATGAGAAATAAAATAAAATAGTAAAATTATTATAACTCGCTACTTTCTTCCCTATCCACTTCCTCCCTGATGGTCAATCACATTCAATTACAACCAGCGTGCATACACTGAAATTTTGAAAATATGTTTATCTTAAAATCCAACATTATCTTCTCCGATGATCTCCGATTGTAAAAACGAATATTTCTTCTCTTATACGAATTATTCGATGATATGAAGCATAAAAAGCTTGAAGTACAAGATCGATCTTACGAAGGAGTTACAGTGATTATGGAAGAGTCTTATGTATATCGTTTCTTGTCTCACTGAGGAGAATATTATTTTAAAAATGTTATATATTTCATGGGTGAAGAATATAGCACGAAATATATGTAGGTGACGGCATCTGTTTTGTGCTTAACGAACTTAACCTCGTTACTCTAATCAATATATTGCATAGGAATACGTTATCTACGACTTTATTACGTTTAGCAACTGATCCCGAGATATTCACAGTCGGCAACACATCGTTGTACTGCCGCTGGTACTTGAGAAAATCGATTTCTACCTGTGAGACTGTGCTTCGTTACAGAATGCGTCAGAATAACCGACGCTTGATACAAAGCTCAAAGCTTCTGGTATTGATTTTAACACTAGTATTTAAGATTTACCCTTTACAAAACGAAGAAAAATATAAATAAAAAATATGAATATATCATTTGTAATATTCCATGCAGAGAGCATATTAGTAATATAAATTTCTTCTGCAAAATTAAATAAAAGTGATTGAATATAGACGGAGGGGAACGTATCATGTAAAATTATACTTTACTAACTTTTAAAACTAAGAAATTGATTTAGGAATAAAGAAACGCTCTTTATTCATTTCATTCCTCAATCCACACTTAATGAAATAATCGAATCATTGTCACTTAATGTGAATAAAAATGTCGCTTTTAATTTACCATTTGCTTAGCAAAGTTTAAGATTCCCGTTGTACAGTTACAGTTCATCAATTGCTGGTAATACAGACTTCGATTCGTAAAGGTAACACGTCTGTCGTACATTGCAAATTTTTCGCCTTACAAGTGCCCTAAATAATCACAATATTATTAAGAGATCGTCCCGCAATAGGAAATGTTGACATCTACTCAACAAATGATATAAATTTAGTTGTTTGCTCTAACATCTGCACGGACAATGCACTGTGTTGACGCAAGTTCATTTTCCAAATATGACGCTGACACAGAAAGGTGTTGCTGGGAAAGTTTTACTTTATCTAATTTTATCTAATTTTAGTTTTCAGCTTACGACTGTAATTACTACGATTAAACAAGGATCTCAATTCCTTCATGATTTATCTTGGTAAGATAGCGAGGTTCCCTGACTTAACATTCTCCAACTACTTCGCCGCCTACTTTTCCTTCATAATCTCTCAGCGCGATCGCATAAAATTACTCCTTCCCTCCTGGTTATTTTGGCACTGGCAAACTTCGGAAACTTTTCGGAGCCCCACTGACGCGGGCTTATGCTAATGACAGGAATTCTAATCTCGGATTATAATTGTTAATTCGTTCAATGATCCGCAACTTTTGTATTTCCATTTTCCGGCGCACTTAAAACTCGTTGACTCGTATCCGGTAATACTGTTTCCTGCTCTCACTCTCTCTCTCTCTCTCTTGTGTTGGCCGATAGTAAATTCCACTTTATTTGATGGATCAATACTAAAACCTCAAGCATGATGTTTGCAGAGATTAAAAAATTAATTTTATGTATACTTTCCGTGCGAAACCATGCACTTTTAAAACAGAATTTTCTACTCACCGGCGATTTCCTGTTTCACCGAAGTATCTTTTGTTTTGAAACTCGCACGGTTTTATTACAAATGTGGTTATTATCGGCACTATTCCTGATACTGTGTGTTTTACTGAAAACACATGAAAAAAAAATGCAGCTTACAGAAACACTGTGTGCTTTACTGAAAACACGTGAAAAAAAATGCAGTTTACAGAATCACTTTAATGGCTTCAAGAGATTAATTATCTCTATTAAATCATCCGTCATCGAGTGACGTATCGGTGAGGAACTTTGCAAACGAGTTATCGTGTCGCGACGGTGTAATCTTGAGAAAAACGGTTAGGACCAAATGAAAAATTCTCAAGTCACATCATTGAAGACTCTCCGATTGTTTGCGGACGATTCGCCAGTGGATAAACTCCATCTATCGAGTGTTCGTCGGTTGTGCATGCAGGTCGCACAGCCAGCTGCAATTAATTCGTTTTATAGATGCTGCCGATGTAAATGAAGTTTCCGGTTGAGTGTCCGGAACGGGAAGAGTGCGGACGAGAATCGGTGGAAGCGGCAGGCAAACCCCCGGCCCGTTCGATGCTCGTAAAAAGGCCAAGGTTTTAACCACCCGGTTGTAAAACCCTCTGGAAGCAATTAATAATAACCGCCCTTCGCAGCTTTGCCGGGCGATAAAACGAGAGTTTCCCCGCCTTTTCGGCGCAACCGTATCGCGCGATGAGCGCATAAACGTCGCGGAAGACGCTCGTTTCATTCCTTCGCGCTTCATTGTGATCGATTGAGGGTTTCTCTAGAGCACGATTCACTTTTAAATCCTTCGGACGGTGCAAAATTCACTGAAAAACGGAACAATTCAATTTTTACATCATTAAATAAGATCATCAGACGATACTCACCATCGTTCTTCCGATCTCAAGGCTCGATGATGCGATGAAAGTAATTCGACGATAAATTCGACGACGCGCGACCTTCGTCTGAAGAATGCACGTGGTGGTCCTCGACAGTGTATCGGGAGATTATCGCTGCCATGTCGTGAGAAGATATCGAAATTACTCGAGTGGCAAGTCGGGACGACTTTTCTCGGGACACTTTGGCGCGACGAGGGTTTTGTTCCAGGATGACGGAACACAGTTTACGGACAAATCGTAACGTCGTGTCGAGATATCGGAGGAAGCTTCCGTCGACCTGCAGGCCTCTCCCGTCCTCTTCTGGTTGCTGGCGGGCGACCTTAGACCGGTGATGGATGAGAGGACACAGACTTTGCCGACAGCGCAATACCGAACCGGAGTAAGGGAAGACGTGGACGCAACACGTGCAATCCGAAACATATATACGTTTCCACCTGGCGATATTGCCGTACCGGAAGGAATGAGATAGCGGCTGGTAATACGTACGGCTGGGAAGAAAGCAGATTGTAAATACGCGAGAATGTAAGGTTTCTTTGAGACTTATCCCGGAAGAAAGGGTGTTCCGTCGCGCGATTGCCTCCACGTTGAAGGCTGCAGGGGAAATATTTGGCGTTGAAAACGCCAGCAACTCGCCATCCGGCGTCGTTTTCGCGCGATAGTGCGTAGCCGGAAATTAATTTCGGGCTGGCGAAAAACTTGATTTAATACTCACGAATTCTCGATACATACGACGAATTATTTTCATTGTACACGTCATGGAGTTATGAAATTATGTGATTTAATTCGGAGAGGGAGATTTAATCATCATTATCGTATCATTATCGAAGCGAGAGTAATATCCTCTCTCGCATCGATCATTCACGCGCGCGCGCGACAGAGAGAGGGAGAGAGAGAGAGAGAGAGAGAAAGAGAGTGAAACCAAACACCACTTTTCGCCGGATTCCTTCGCGAATCTCGCAGACGCGAAATACTCCATCGGCCTCGTCTACGCCTGTTTATTCTCAATTTACCGCGCCGAGGTGGAAATCGTGGCACGAGTTTACCGTGCAATTTTCGATCCTTTTCTCCACCCTCCACCGTCTCACCGCCCGTTGCTCGCGCCACCCCCGTCGCAACAGCCTGCAGCAACACTCCCGTCCGTCACCCTCCATTATTTACCACTTCGAAACGTCGAAGATGCTTCTTTCCGCTCCGGTGCTCGAAAAATTTCATCCGCAGTCTCTCCGGCCCCGGCAATGCTCGGTTCATGAAATTCGGCGACGATCTCAAATTGCTGCGACGCGTTCGGAAATTCTCGAGTGTGTCCCGCCGATAATTTCGCGTCTCGCACCCCGACGCGGATTAAATTGCGAGTGTCGCGAGTTAATCGATACGACTTACCGGAAGACAGAATGCGCGTCTTGCACCCCACAACTATCTACGTATGGAAACTGTAATTACTCTCCTCGAGTGATTACTCAGATATTATTCGAATTATTAAATATTACTCGAATAAAAACTGATTTCTTCAAAGGAAGGTCCGTAATTTAAACTTCTGATAAAAATCACTGATGAAGAACTGCTTGTGTTAGCAAATATATATGCATATATTGAAATTCTTCCCTCCTTATCTTTGCCATGGTTATGTCAATGTTGCTCCGTTTGCTATCTTTTCTAAATTCACAGATGTTCATTCCATGAATATCCTTGAACACCCTTTACAACTCTCAACACATAGAAAATAGAATTGCTCTCCTCGATAGCGAATATTTTACTCGGATAAGAGATTATTTCTTCAGAATGAAAATCCCGCGATTTAAACATCGAAAAATTTGCTGATGAAATACTACTTATGTTAGCAAACACGCACATATACTGAAGTCCTTCCCGCCTTACCCTTGACGTTGTTAACGTTGCTCCGTTTGCTATCCTTTCTAGATTCACAGAGGTCTATTTCACGGGCACCCTTGAGAATCCCCAGGGATCTCCCTCCGGACGTAATCTGTGTAGTCCGACGGGATAAGGATCGCGAGAAGGCGAGAAAAATATGCCGTTCCACGTGCAGCGTCGATAACGGAACGACGTTCACCACCCACGCGCCGTCGAAAGGAGGTGGAAGGCCGAGGGGTTGAAAGAATGAGAGAGGAAGAGAGATAAGCAGAGAAGAAAAAGAGAGAGAGAGAGCAGAGAACACGCTTTGTCGCGCTGCCGCGCTCACATGTCGAAGTTATGAAAATTAATAAGAAAAATTGCCCATAAATTCGGCGTCTCTCCTTCGCGGGCGCATCCCGGCCTGGCAATAAAATTAGAATTATGTCGCGGCGGCTCGCGCGCCATCCCCTATCCCTTTCACCCCCTCC